CAGGGACCTAAATAATTTAATGTCATAATGGCTCTCACACACACACACACTCAAACACCCCCACACCCCCACAAAACATGCGTGCTTACACGCATGTACACACACAGACATGCACACAAACATTAATGATATAATGGCATAATGGCATATGGCCTCTGCACGCTGAGGGTATAATCTGCTGGTAGAATGCCCTCCAACCAGAGTAGGGAAACCAGATCTGCTTATCAATTTCCATTAGCTTAGAGCCACATATGTCTTACTGACTCCTTGCTAACCAGTTGGTGCTGTAAGCCCAATAATGACAGGTGCCAGCTGAGAGTTCATTGGCCCGTCCATCCACTTGTCTCTTACAGAGTTAATCAATTATCATAAGCAACATCCTATCTCTTTTTGGAGGGCAGTCCTGCAACACTTTCTTATTCCCAGACTCCTACCCATCAACAACATGTCAGAGGACTGCTAGAATGGACAGAAGTGGCGCTATTGAACATTGTTGATTAACAAGACCATGAGCACCACATTTGTGCATCATAGACATACACTACATGAACAAAAGTATGTGGACACCTGCTTGTCTCATTCCAAAATCATGGGCATTAATATGGAGTTGGTCCCCCCCTTGCTACTATAACAGCCTCCACTCTTCTGGGAAGGCTTTCCACTAGATGTTGGAACATTGCTGCGGGGACTTGCTTCCATTCAGCCACAAGAGCATTAGTGAGGTCGGGCACTGATGTTGGGCGTTTAGGCCTTGCTCGCAGCTGGCGTTCCAATTCATCCCAAAGGTGTTCGATGGGGTTGAGGTCAGGGCTCTGTGCAGGCCAGTCAAGTTCCTCCACACCGTTCTCCACAAACCATTTCTGTATGGACATCGCTTTGTGCACGGGGGCATTGTCATGCTGAAACAGGAAAGGGCCTTCCCCAAACTGTTGCCACAAAGTTGGAAGCACAGAATTGTCTAGAATGTCATTGTATGCTGTAGCGTTAAGATTTCCCTTCACTGGAACTAAGGGGCCTAGCCCAAACCATGAAAAACAGCCCCAGACCATTATTCCTCCTCCACCAAACTTTACAGTTGGCACTATGCATTGGGGCAGGTAGCGTTCTCCTGGCATCCGCCAAACCCAGATTTGTCCGTTGGACTGCCAGATGGTGAAGCGTGATTAATCACTCCAGAGAACGCATTTCCACTGCTCCAGAGTCCAATGGTGGCGAGCTTTACACCACTCCAGCTGACGCTTGGCATTGTGCATGGTGATCTTAAGCTTGTGTGCGGCTGCTCGGCCATGGAAACCCATTTCATGAAGCTCCCAACAAACAGTTATTGTGCTGATGTTGCTTCCAGAGGCAGTTTGCAACCGAGGACAGACGATTTTTACGCGCTACGCGCTACGCGCTTCAGCACTCGGCAGTCCCATTCTATGAGCTTGTGTGGCCTACCACTTCGCTACCACTTCGTTGCTGAGCCATTGTTGCTCCTAAACATTTCCACTTCACAATAACAGCAGTTACAGTTGACCGGGGCAGCTCTAGCAAGGCAGAAATTTTATGAACTGACTTGTTAGAAAGGTGGCATCCTATGACGGTGCCACTTTGAAAGTCACTGAGCTCTTCAGTAAGGCCAGTCTACTGCCAATGTTTGTCTATGGAGGTTGCATGGCTGTGTGCTCAATTTTATACACCTGTCATGGGTGTGGCTGAAATAGCAGAATCCACTAATTTGAAGGGGTGTCCACATACTTTTCTATATATAGTGAACTTTCATCCTTTCTAGCATGTCCAGAACAAAGTCGAAAGAAACTCATTCTGGGAGATTATAAAAATCCTTAGACATTTTTCAAACTCATTCATTAATTTCAATTAGGTATGTAATAAACATACTGCTTCCTGGGAGACAAAAGCTGATTCGTCCAGCCTCCAAGAGCTTATAGTCCAGGCCCAATGGGGAGGGTTGCTAACACTATTGCTACAGGAGCCTCGACAGCTGTGTGGGCCAGTCCTCTTCCCTTCCCACCACTTCCTATAGGAAAGCCTTGGCACTGCCAATTCAGTTCCACAGTCTCATTATGAGTCATGACTCATCCAACCACTACTAGGCAAGAATATCACTCTCTGGGAGATGTTAGAGGGCAGCTGAGGTGACTTCCAGTTATAGCCCCGACGCTGTAAGACTGGCAGGGAAGGATTTTTCTTCACTGGGATTTGTGTGAGGTGGATATTGTAGTGTGACCTTAAGTACAAGGTTGCCAAATAGACTTGCGAGTGCATTGGCAAAATGTGGGTCCTTGGGTTGGAATCATAGACAGAAGGATTATGTGGGTATCAGCCTAGGGCTCAATCATGTCTTTGGAAGACGTTTAGAAAGCATTCAAACAGTAGAGTATACAGTGCATTAGGAAAGTATTCAGACCCCTTGACCTTTTCCATATTTTGTTATGTTACAGCCTTATTCTAAAATGTATTAAATTATTTTTTTTACTCATCAATCTACACACAATACCCCATCATGACAAAGCGAAAACTGGTTTTTAGAAACTTTTGCAAATATATTAAAATAATAATACCTTATTTACATAAGTATTCAGACCCTTTGCTATCAGACTCGAAATTGAGCTCAGGTGCATCCTGTTTCCATTGATCATCCTTGAGATGTTCCTACAACTTGATTGGTGTCCACCTGTGTTAAATTCAATTGATTAGACATGATTTGGAAAGGCACACACCTGTCTATATAAGGTCCCACAGTTGACAGTGCATGTCAGAGCAAAAACCAAGCCATGAGGTTGAAGGAATTGTCCGTAGGGCTCTGAGAGAGGATTGTGTCGAGGCACAGATCTGGGGAAGGGTACCAAAAAATGTCTGCATCACTGAAGGTCCCCAAGAAGTGGCCCACGGTGACCTCCATCATTCTTAAATGGAAGAAGTTGGGAACCACCAAGACTCTTTCTAGAGCTGGCCGCCCGGCCAAACTAAGCAATCGGAGGAGAAGGGCCTTGGTCAGGGAGGTGACCAAGAACCCGATGGTCACTCTGACAGAACTCCAGAGTTCCTCTGTGGAGATGGGAGAACCTTCCAGAAGGACAACCATCTCTGCAGCACTCCACAATCAGGCCTTTATGGTAGAGTGGCCAGACGGAAGCCACTCCTCAGTAAAAGGCACATGACAGCCTGCTTGGAGTTTGCCAAACGGCACCTAAAGGACTCTCAGACCATGAGAAACAAGATTCTCTGGACTGATGAAACCAAGATTGAACTCTTTGGCCTGAATGCCAAGCGTCACGTCTGGAGGAAACCTAGCACCATCCTTATGGTGAAGCACGGTGGTGGCAGCATCATGTTGTGGGGATGTTTTTCAGCGGCAGGGACTGGGAGACTAGTCAGGATCAAGGGAAAGATGAACGGAGCAAGGTACAGAGAGATCCTTGATGAAAACCTGCTCCAGTGCGCTCAGGACCTCAGACTGGGGGCGAAGGTTCACCTTCCAACAGGACAACGACCCTTAGCACACAGCCAAGACAACACAGGAGTGGCTTCGGGACAAGTCTCTGAATGTCCTTGAGTGGCCCAGCCAGAGCCCGGACTTGAACCCGATCTAACATTTCTGGAGAGACCTGAAAATAGCTGTGCAGCGATGCTCCCCATCCAACCTGACAGAGCTTGAGAGGATCTGCAGAGAAGAATGGGAGAAACTCCCCAAATACAAGTGTGCCGAGCTTGTAGCGTCATACCCAAAAAGACTTGAGGCTGTAATCGCTGCAAAAGGTGCTTCAACAAAGTACTGAGTAAAGGGTCTGAATACTTATGTTAATGTTATATTTCTGTTTTTTATTTTTTATAAATTTGCAAAAATGTATAGAAACCTGTTTTTGCCTCGTCATTATGGGGTATTATGTGTAGATTGATGAGGGGGAAAACGATTTAATCTATTTTAGAATAAGGCTGTAACGTAACAAAATGTGGAAAAACTAAAGGAGTCTCAATACTTTCCGAATGCACTGTAGAAGGAGACAAATCTCACCATAGGATAAAATCCACAGACTCATTTATCATTTCCATTTGCTATTTTCCAATGATTCCTGTCTATGTTTTATTCATCTTGCTGAGTAGCCTGGTCAAATTGGAAGGCTGCACTCTCACTCTCCTCAATCAGCATCACTCAGAGGCGTGGTTATCTCCCTACACGCATCAATGGCAGAAATCGCCCTGCCATTACTTGGTTGCAAAAAATATTTATTGTTCGCCTAACTTCAGTGTATGTGATAAAACAAGCAATGTGTAGAGAATCATTGTACCATCTAAATCACTGTGAAATATATTTTCATTAACCGAAAGTAAAAGACTCAAAAGCAGGGGAGGAGATGGGGAGTAAATCCAGGATGGGGAAGAGTTGTTTGAATTCTGGAAAGTGTTGTTGCAACTCACCTAGCTTCCACAAGGGGCTGCGTGTAGACAAAGGGCTCTATTCAATCCGCATTTTGGAAGTTCCGCTTTAATAGCGTGATTGTAATTTAATGGCAACGTTCCCGTTTTTGCAGAGATTGCATTCATGGTAAATGCTGCATATATTGGCTCAATCAGAAATTACCTTTAAATTTCTATTGCATAATCTGTAACACCTCACACTCAGTTTTACAGATTGAACAGAGCCCATAGTTCCTATAAAGGTACAGAATATGGTCAAGGGATATTTGCCTCGGAGTGAATCCGAGATTCTAAGAAACCAGAAGCTCTATTAGATCTTTATCTCTGGCAGATGACCAACTCTCATCAAAAGGGATGAAATAATTCCTGTTTGAAGATCATGCATGACAACTGTAGTGATGGTGACCAGCGTAAAGCAATGGTGAGCAGCACCCCCTTCTGGTTGAATACAGGAACAGTAAAATCAAATGACAACTACCTCTCTCTAACCTGGAGGAAGAGATGGAGGCTGTCCTACTGTAAATGGCACCCTATTGACCAGGGCCCATAGGGGTAGTGCACCAAAGTAGTGCACTATAGCTGCAATTTGGGACACAGTCAGACGCTTGGTAAAAGACAAACAAAACCCAGAAATCCAATGACAAATGTATTGCATACTGCATGTCCTGTAAGAGCCTTTCTAGCATATATAGAGAACATCAATGAACACATCAGAATGTATATAGATCTGACGTCACAGTATACAAATCACAGAACAAAGTAGTACCCTGTGGAACATTTAAATAATACAAAGTGCACAAATAAAGTTAATTCAATTCAACTGCATCAACAACTGTTAAAACGGAACTGCTGAACTGTTTTCCTCTCACAGAAACAGTGGAGAGGACCACTGCATTAATGCTGTACATTCAGACACCTAAAGAAAGATATATGATTGTACTATAAGGAGATATTTTGCTGAACATACTAAACTGATGTCTCCATTAGTCTAGGTGGTTCCAAAAGTGGCCCTTGCATTATATTGGAATGAAACAAAAATACAAACCATAAATATACATTATTCTCCAAGCATATTTGGCACCATATTTGAGCATAGAATACAAGTACAACTTACAATATAACTTTTGTAATAATATGGAGGTAATATAGCATTTTGGCACAACACATGGATAAGTATTTATGTAAAGGACCGATTACATATGAATCCAACCCGTATGTATACTATACTTACTGAACAACTTTTCCAGTTTGAAGCTAAAAAGCTACCTCTGCAGGAGGGATTCTTCCTATAATGAACATGGTCAGAATCAACTCCCGCAGAACCAAACCCTGTCTATAACCATCAGAGGACCAAACAACACCCTATTCACTGACTGATGTCCAGAGGCCAAATACTACCCATTATAACAACTAAAGCACCCTTTCTCAGAGGAAAATTATATCAGTGGTCCTCAACCTCTGGTCCGAGGACCTGCACCGATCTCTGGGATGCTGCTGACTGGTCCCTCAGATTGTTAGCTGACAAGAATGTAGCCAGTTCTCAAGTGCCTTCAAGGACCATAGCAGCTTACCAGTTCTTGGTACAAGAGGGACCATCGTTTTCGGGTCCCAGTGGCATAAAAAAGGTTGAGAAACGGAGTTAAATTACACAGAATTACTGTAGGAACCTTTAAAGAGTCATTTTGAGGAATGTAAACACAACCCCTTCATATTGTGTTTTTTAACCCACAGTTAACCTAGAAGAATGGGGTGCCATGGTTGGTATTATGTGGCAGAGCTTTTGTTGTTGCACCATATAAGCAATTCAACCAATATATGTTACTTTAAGGGGGTTTCCAGACCTGTCTTAAACCATCTCATTAAAACAAAAACTAGGTATCACTAATAATATATTCAACAATAACAATATGCGTATAGTAACATCAATATATTGAATTGTTCAACATTATGATATTATATGTATAAATTCTAATGAATATATTTATATATAGGCATCTGCTTGTGTTATACAGAAGCAGTGCGAGGTATGACATAATAATAATGCTATCTTTATTTATACTCCTCCAAACAAATGCAAATAAATGCGTTCGCCATTGGTCTATGAGGTAAGACAATCACGAACTGCGATACTGAATATGAATTGAACCCTCCCATGCACAGAGAGGTTTCAATACAGGTCAAGACTGGTTTCAAAACAGGTCTGTGAAAACCCTGACGCAAGTCCAGAGGGGGAAGACTATTGGGGTAAATCAGCACCCCCTGGTGGACATGCATAGAACCTACAGATATATTTCAGTTCTAAAGGATTTCCTCTGATTTAGCATTTTGGTCAGCGTCATTGTGGGGCTTCATGAATAATAACACCACCTAGGCTAAGAGGATTCACTGTCACCCACAGGTTAATGGAATTTATGTAGAGTTACATCAAACATAAATTAATGATTTTCAACCCCTATGGTCCAATGGAAAAGTATACCATCACATTCACTTGTTTTCACTTCGAGGCTACATCCCTCTTTATCCTTCCACTTTAATCTCTTCAACTAACGCTCAACTGTCTGTGCTAAAATCTGCATCGATCGCCACACATTTGTTTTACATCGGAAAAACAAAGCTGAGAGCAGCAAAACTACATACAAATGTACCGTACTGTAATATGGACAGAAAACAAGGAACACACCATTCCTTCAGTTCATTGAACCTGTATTAACCTCCATCTATGGTGGGGCACAGTACTATGTGTTGAGATGTGAGCTACTGTACTGAGCATATCCTGGGGGAGAAGCTCTTCCAGGTTGGTGTATTTACCAATGACAGAAATACACTTGTTGTATGCCTCAGGCTTTGACTGGCAAGCTGCCTTATAACACCCTGATAACTCCACTGTATCTTCCACAGATGTACCGAACCACCAATCCCGTAACCCTCGACCCCTAAAGAGAAACAAGAAATGCAACACTAACAAGTATATGTAAAAGTATATGCCTGGATCCAAGAAATGCAGGCAATGTCCACCATTACAGGTGGTTTAACTCACTAACAAGTGTAACAACGAACAAGAGCCCTCCAGCAGCTCAATGAAAGGAGAGAGCACGTCAACACTAACAGGCCAATAAAAGATAGCCGGCATGCAATTTGCGCAAAAAGGCAAACAAATGCCCATATTCTTATTCATAACATAACTCCACGTTTGTCTATGCAAATGTACTCAACAATGGCATTGAGAAGCTCACGACATCCACAATCAAAATCACTGGCGTTGAGATCGGAAACAAGAAAAAAGGCGAATACCCTGCTACACCAAGCCAAGCTCTACTTCTACGATAAGCAGTGGGTCCATTTTATACACTGACAGGGAAAAGGTTCATATCCCCCTTTTTACTATCCTCTAACCGTAGCGGCTAACAGCTACAATTCATTCTCTCCGAGACCAAATCAAGTCTTATGAAAAACAAAGAGAGAAAAAGATGCCCTCTAACCCAATTCAACCACCACATATCCCAATTTCAATGCCACAGGTTCTGTCCTACGCAATATTGAGACTATATTCTGGAGTTACTTTTCCATGGATACAAATAATACAGAGCTAAAGTGGGGTTCAAGCACCATGAGGAATCAAAATGTAGAGCTACAACAGAATTGCTCTGCAAAGGACCGCCTTGTACAACAGTGCAACAGCCTCCTGAGCTGGGCAAACTGGAGCCGCATGCAGCACACAGTAGAAAGCATGTCAGTCTCCCTACTACTGGAGGGGACTGAAATAGGCCCGAATGGATCCCAAATGGACCCAAATGCAGCTGAAATGGTGACCAAAAGCAGCCAAAACGGAGCCTGAATGGCCACAGTGCTGCTCAGTTGCCTTGCACTTCCACTTCAAAGTGTGCATCTAGAGGCCTGTGAGATCCACGGTGGCCTTGATGAAGATGATGTCATCGCGGATGTAGGAGTTCTTGGCGTCAAGCTTTGAGAGCGGGCAGAACAGCGGGCAGCCGCTGGCGATGTTCATCTCGCTCACAGGCCTCTGGAAGGAGGAGGAAGTGATGTCAGGCCGGAAGGCGTCGATGATGTGCTCCCTGCTACTCTGGTCCAGCAGCATCAGAGTCACCTGGTGAGTGAGTGAGTGAGTGAGTGAGTGAGTGAGTGAGTGAGTGAGAGAGTGAGAGAGTGAGAGAGTGAGAGAGAGAGAGAGAGAGAGAGAGAGAGAGATAATATTCCACATAAGCAAGTCTGATTTATACATCACAAATCTTCATGCAAAATCTAAATGTATTGTACATTTTCAAACCAATTTGAAGATTTAGAAATTACAAGATTGACGTGAATTTCAACATACAGTATGTAAAAAATATGATCAAATCTGTGCATTTTATAAACGAGTCCCCCGGTCCTTACCTTCTGGTTGAAGGGCCATTTCAGCAGAGCATCACTCAATCCCCTCATCACCACAAAGAACAGAGACAGGTGGCTGCCACGCCCTGTCCCGTCCCCATTCAGGTAGATCCGCAGACACATCTTATAGCCGTATTTACTGGTGTAGAATGCTGTTGACGAAAAATACATACACTACCGTTCAAAAGTTTGGGGTCACTTAGAAAAGCAATTTTTCTGTCCATTAAAATAACATCAAATTGATCAGAAATACAGTGTAGACATTGTTAATGTTGTAAATAGCTATTGTAGCTGGAAACGGCTGATTTTTTATGGAATATCTACATAGGCGTACAGAGGCCCATTATCAGCAACCATCAGTCCTGTGTTCCAATGGCACGTTGTGTTTGCTAATCCAAGTTTATCATTTTAAAAGGCTAACTGATCATTAGAAAACCCTTTTGCAATTATGTTAGCACAGCTGAAAACTGTTGTGCTGATTAAAGAAGCAATAAAACTGGCCTTCTTGAGACTAGTTGAGTATCTGGAGCATCAGCAATTGTGGGTTCGATTATAGGCTCAAAATGGCCAGAAACAAATAACTTTCTTCTGAAACTCGTCAGTCTATTCTTGTTCTGAGAAATGAAGGCTACTCTATGTGAGAAATTGCCAAGAAACTGAAGATCTCGTACAACGCTGTGTACTACTCCCTTCACAGAACAGCGCAAACTGGCTCTAACCAGAATAGAAAGAGGAGTGGGAGGCCCCGGTGCACAACTGAACAAGAGGACAAATAGATTAGAGTGTCTAGTTTGAGAAACAGACGCCTCACAGGTCCTCAACTGGCAGCTTCATTAAATAGTACCCGCAAAACACCAGTCTCAACATCAACAGTGAAGAGGCGACTCCGGGATGCTGACCTTCTAGGCAGAGTTGCAAAGAAAAAGCCATATCTCAGACTGGCCAATAAAAAGAAAAGATTAAGATGGGCAGTCTGAGATATGGCTTTTTCTTTGCAACTCTGCCTAGAAGGTCAGCATCCCGGAGTCGCCTCTTCACTGTTGAAGTTGAGACTGGTGTTTTGCGGGTACTACAGTGAGGGAAAAAAGTATTTGATCCCCAGCTGATTTTGTACATTTGCCCACTGACAAAGAAATGATCAGTCTATAATTTTAATGGTCGGTTTATTTGAACCGTGAGAGACAGAATAACAACAAAAAAATCCAGAACGCATTTGTCAAAAATGTTATGAATTGATTTGCATTTTAATGAGGGAAATAAGTATTTGACCCCCTCTCAACCAGAAAGATTTCTGGCTCCAAGGTGTCTTTTATACAGGTAACGAGCTGAGATTAGGAGCACACTCTTAAAGGGAGTGCTCCTAATCTCAGTTTGTTACCTGTATAAAAGACACCTGTCCACAGAAGCAATCAATCAATCAGATTCCAAACTCTCCACCATGGCCAAGACCAAAGAGCTCTCCAAGGATGTCAGGGACAAGATTGTAGACCTACACAAGGCTGGAATGGGTTACAAGACCATCGCCAAGCAGCTTGGTGAGAAGGTGACAACAGTTGGTGCGATTATTCGCAAATGGAAGAAACACAAAAGAATGTCAATCTCCCTCGGCCTGGGGCTCCATGCAAGATCTCACCTTGTGGAGTTGCAATGATCATGAGAACGGTGAGGAATCAGCCCAGAACTACACGGGAGGATCTTGTCAATGATCTCAAGGCAGCTGGGACCATAGTCACCACGAAAACAATTGGTAACACACTACGCCGTGAAGGACTGAAATCCTGCAGCGCCCGCAAGGTCCCCCTGCTCAAGAAAGCACATATACAGGCCCGGCTGAAGTTTGCCAATGAACATCTGAATGATTCAGATGAGAACTGGGTGAAAGTGTTGTGGTCAGATGAGACCAAAATCGAGCTCTTTGGCATCAACTCAACTCGCCGTGTTTGGAGGAGGAGGAATGCTGCCTATGACCCCAAGAACACCATCCCCACTGTCAAACATGGAGGTGGAAACATTATGCTTTGGGGGTGTTTTTCTGCTAAGGGGACAGGACAACTTCACCGCATCAAAGGGACGATGGACGGCGCCATGTACCGTCAAATCTTGGGTGAGAACCTCCAACCCTCAACCAGGGCATTGAAAATGGGTTGTGGATGGGTATTCCAGCATGACAATGACCCAAAACACACGGCCAAGGCAACAAAGGAGTGGCTCAAGAAGAAGCACATTAAGGTCCTGGAGTGGCCTAGCCAGTCTCCAGACCTTAATCCCATAGAAAATCTGTGGAGGGAGCTGAAGGTTCAAGTTGCCAAACGTCAGGCTCGAAACCTTAATGACTTGGAGAAGATCTGCAAAGAGGAGTGGGACAAAATCCCTCCTGAGATGTGTGCAAACCTGGTGGCCAACTACAAGAAACGTCTGACCTCTGTGATTGCCAACAAGGGTTTTGCCACCAAGTACTAAGTCATGTTTTGCAGAGGGGTCAAATACTTATTTCCCTCATTAAAATGCAAATTAATTTATAACATTTTTAACATGCGTTTTTCTGGATTTTTGTTGTTGTTATTCTGTCTCTCACTGTACTACGGAACAATGTAGTCTCAAATTGGACTCAGGTTGTTCTGGCTTCAGTCTTGACTCTGTCTCAAAGCCCCTTTGGTCTCAGTCTTAACTCGGACTGGAATAGCTCTGGTCTCGCTTCAGGTGGTCTACAGCACTGGTTCCGGGAGTTACCTGGTGAGAACATGGCAGGGGCTCGGCCAGCGATGGCGTCCTGTCTCTTTTTGGTGAAGTCAGAGATCCTCCAGACGAAGACGCCGTCGAATGTGGTGGCCGACATCTCCCTAAGCCTGCCCTCCATCTCCGCTACCGTCAGGTCCTTCAGCCCAACCGTCCTCTCCAGCTGCCGCACCTGAGACACGCGCACACACACACACACCAATGTGCTAGCTTCTATGAATTCAAAACACTCTGAATCTCCAGCTTTATACCCCATTATACAACGGGTGGTTTGGAATTCCCATTGTTAGAGCCTCTCCTGCCCATGATATATGAGACAACATACACATGGCCACTTTCATATAAAGTTTACGTCGTTACCTAGCAACCCACTACCACTACTACAACTACTAATCTTAGCACCTATAACTCGTCATTGATGATTTTAAAGTTACTTTTGATTTGTTTTATCTACTAATGTTTAATGAATGGTGCCAACAAGAAGAGGAGGAGGAGGATATTAAAGAAATGAAACAAGAGGAAGAGCATAGAAAAGGAGAGAAATTAAGAAGTTAACTACATCAAGACAAACCAACTGGGCAGTGAAGTGCTTTCTGGAATGGCTGTCAGAAAAGGGGATAAACATCGATATGGCAACTGTTTCAAAACAGGAGATGGGTAATATTCTCCGGAGTTTCTACGCCACCTACTGAATAAGGTGTGGTTTGATTTGCAGTTGCACTTTGGCCGAAAAGGCAATGAAGGAAATCACAAACTGAAGCCAAACTAATTCGTAATAAAAGAAGACAAAAATGAAGAAACCAAGAACCACAAAAATCCAATGGAAATAGACAGAGAGAATCGTTGTGGCTGCATGTATGAGAACCTACGGGAACGAGCTCTGCCCCGGGGAAAATTGCATAAATAAATAGCTGTCGATGCTGCGACCATCCGAAAAACAATGTCATTGTGGTTTCTATTCTGATCTGCTGTATCAATGTCTTTGCTACAATGTTTCAGCGCTGTTTTCAGATCCATGGACAGCACCCCTATACAATGTTTCGATCTGGCATCCAATTTTCGTATGCATAGACCAGACGTGCATTGTTTTCAGAACCATGGACAGCGTCCCTAGAAAACAAGGTTCTGGAAGTACTACTTAAGTAGTTTTTGGGGGTATCTGTACTTTACTATTTATATTTTTGGCAACTTTTACTTTTACTTCACTACATTCCTAAAGACAATAATGTACTTTTTACTCCATACATTTTCCCTGACACCCAAAAGTACTTGTTACATTTTGACAGGAAAATGGTCCAATTCACACACTTATCAAGAGAGCATCCCTGGTCATCCCTACTGCCTCTGATCTGGCGGACTCACTAAACACAAATGCTTCGTTTGTAAATTATGTCTGAGTGTTGGAGTGCGCCCCTGGCTATCCGTCAATAAAAAAATACAAGAAAATTGTGCTGTCTGGTTTGCTTAATATAAGGAATTTGAAATGATTTATACTTTTATACTTTTGATACCTAAGTACATTTTAGCAATTCCATTTACTTTTGATACTTAAGTACATTTAAAATCAAATACTTTTATACTTTTACTCAAGTAGTATTTTACTGGGTGACTTTCACTTTTACTTGAGTCATTTTCTATTAAGGTATCTTTACTTTTACTAAAGTATGACAATTTAGTACATTTTACACCGCTGTGTACGCCCCTAGGCTTCGCTTCGTGGCTATGCCCATATTACAGCCATGATAAAAATGTCATAACACATGACCGCTCATGTATTATTGCTTAAGTGAGTAATGCCATTGAATTTAAAGTGGCACTCCAGTCACCTTTTAACCATATGTAACACCTGATTTACTTAACAAAAGGCACATCTCAATAGGTGGTCCAGGTAAGTCATGACATAGCACAACTGAGGGGGTGGGCCTGTTTTGCTCTCTCTTGCTCCTCTTTGGTTCATCAAGTAAGGGGGAGGCTGATTACATCACGGATTCATATCAGACCAACTCCTTGAATGCCCTACTCTTTGAAGTTTGCAGTTATGTAAAAAAAAAAAAGTTTTTACCCTTTAGTGTGTGTACTTTACTGTATTTATACTTGAGCTATCGCTTTTCAACAGTAAAAGTAAAACAATCGCTGGAGGACGTCTTTAAATATTGGAAAGGGGCTCTATAAATCAAATGACAATTTCATTTCTGCTTCAGGGTCTTCCTTCCTACCTTGTTGCTCAGGGCATCAATCTTATCCTGGTCCAGGCGATGCTGTCTGTTACCTGCCTCCATGGTGGTGGTGAAGCGTTCTACCTCTCGGTTCAACACACACACCACATTCTCAAACGTCCCCACCTTCACCTCCAGGTCGGTGCACCTGCGTCCCAGCTCCGCCACCTTGGTCTTCTCACTGTGGAGCTGCAGCTCCAGGGCCGCCCCCACCGAGCTGGGCAGGGGGGTGAAGGAGGTGGACACGGTCAGTGTTGTTGCCGGGGTGGGAGGTGGAGGCAGGGGAAGAGCCGGGGCAGGAGGCCCGGGGAGGCCTAAGGAGGAGGAAGAGGAGGAGGTGGCCCCCTGCACGGTAGGCCCGATAGAAGTGGTGCTGAGCTGGGAGACGCGGGCTTCCAGCTCCCTAAGGGAATGGTGGAGGTCCAGGAGCTTGTGTCCGGCTTGCTCCAGTCCATGTGGCTGCAGGCCCTCCATGCTCACCTTCAGGGATAGAGAGGGGGAACATAAGTAAACACCAAGAAAATAACCACTCCCTCAACGTCAACAAAACAAAGGAGCTGATTGTAGACTAGGAGACAGAAGATACTGTGTATTTAAATACTGTATTCTCGACAAAGCTCATTCTAATACTTTTACTACTGTACGTTGCATTTTAGTTACACTGTTTATATGCACCACATATTTATTTATATACTGGATTCTAAACATTGCTCACTCTAATATATATACTGCTGTACATACCATTTTTAGTATATCTTGGGTGAATTAATCCGGTGTACATATGTATAGATTGCATTTGGATTATTGTTACAGTGCTGTTTGGGTTGTTAATTAGATTTGTTCCGATGTTTCTTGATTTATTATTATTTTTTTGTGTAATTATTTGTGTACTTTATTGACATTTTACTGCATTGTTAGGAGCTAGTAACATCAGCATTTTGCTGCACCCGCTATAACATCTGCTAAACTGTGTATGCGACCAATAAACTTTGATTTGATTTGACGAGGCAAGTAACGCTAACGCTAATGTAACTGCTAAGTAAATGCTTATGCAACCAACCATAATTTAGCGTAATAGGTGTGTACACTGCTATTCACCAATTAAAAAGCTGTATAAACGACATTTCCGCTGCACTACATCCATGCTCACCCTCACCTTCATACCCATAATGTAGTGTAGCAGCAGGTTGAGGTGTTCGTATGCGCAGGCCCTCTCGTGGTCGTGGATCCTCTCCTTCTCCACCTGCACAGAGAGCGAGGGAGAGGACAGCTGTTTTAACAGAAGCACTTTAACCAGGTATTAACTAAGAAATAACATGGTAAAATGGTAATTACACAGTAACAACCTTGTTTGTTTCATTAGGATTGATTGAAACCATAGCTCTGAAGAGATAATAATGCTACTTACTGACATATCACACCCAACAACATGGAATCTGCATGGCGTTCTGAATTTGCTGCAGAACTTAATGTGGTCCACATACTAGGGAAATAGCCAAAGACGAAAAAATACACAATGATTTGACAAGTTCTACAGCCATTTCAAACATCACCCTTCTTAAAATAGTGTGGCTTATTTTCTCTCAATATTGTGCTTCCTTTCCTGTCATGCATTTTCCAAATGGATTCAGTCACAAGTTCCCAATAATAATATCAAATCGGCTATATTGTGTGTGTTGAACATTTAAGAACTCACCTTCTCCCTGGGGATTTTCTTCTTGGCACAGCCTTCACAGATCATGGGGTACTTTGGGCAGATCTCGTCGTGGGCCTAAAAAGGACATGTTTTTGTATAGCTTTTTACACAAATTGATGCTACTACTCCTTGCAATCTTGACGCGATCATAAACCAGCCATTTGAGAGATTTCACCACCAACAGATGGATGGATGTTCTCTCAGAGCCTGCATAATTTCTCACCTTGATGTTTTTGAAATGGAATGGTTCCTTGCAGTACTTGCAGTTGAGGGTTCTCTCGGGGCACTCTCGCTCGTTGTGGCGTTCCTGTTCGTTGAAGCGGATCCGCTCTTTACAGGAGGGGCAGGGGATGATCATGTACTCACACTTCTCCTCGTGGCTCAACTGTAAGAGACCGAAAATTAAGTTTGGATTATTTTGACTTTAGTATACGTTCATAAGCGTATAACCAAGGATCTTCAGTCAAACTGATTGAGCAAAGCAAAACCCAGACATACACTACAGTACTGAGATGCATTGCTTACAAGCATTTCTGGCACATTGGTGGTGCTCCTTCTTTTCAATAATGCCTGTCTGTCTAAATGCATCGTTTAAATGATGAAAAGGTTGATAATCAGTCTAAAAAACACCCAACTAACCTCGTATTCTTTAATATTGCCTTTCCAAGTGCAGCCTTCGTTGATGCAGACAGCAGAGAGGTTTTCGACCTCTCTTCGAGCTGCGTTGTCAGGAAAAGCCTGCAGAAGTGAGAGCAAACAAAAATGGAGGCTTTTGCTGTTACAGTTAATCTGTTCTGTTTTCCGAACGCATCATTTATGATTGCGAGGTGTGTGTGTGTGTGCGTGTGTGTGAGAGAGATAAGTGCACACGCTCCAAATAACATGGACGCACTGGCACTACCTTTAAATTATACAACACAAAGAGAATCTACTGTACACACGGATAACACCATTTAGACATTACTTCTGAATGACAGGGCTTTTATAAAACCAGTGTAAACAACGTCCAATTCAAAAGTTGAATGACATCACCAGTATTTAAAGGATACATTTTGATCATACTTTTTCTTTGAGACGATAAACTGACTCTGTAATAAAAGACTGTGAAGAAGAAGCTCCTTCACCAGAGATTGAGATCTTTTAAATACAGTGCATTCAAAAAGTATTCAGACCCCTTTACTTTTTCCACATTTTGTTATGTTACAGCCTTATTCTAAAATGGATTAAATAGTTTCCCCCCCCCCTCATCAATCTACAAACAATAACCCATAATGACGAAGCAAAAACAGTTTTTTAGAAATTTGCATATTTATTACAAATAAAAAACGGAAATATAACATTTACATAAGTATTCATACCCTTTACTCAGTACTTTGTTAAAGCACCTTTGGCAGTACCTTTGGCAGCCTTGAGTCTTCTTGGGTATGACGCTACAAGCTTGGCACACTTGCATTTGGGGAGTTTCTCCATTAATCTCTGCAGATCCTCTCAAGCTCTGTCAGGTTAGATGGGGAGCGTTGCTGCACAGCTATTTTCAGGTCTCTCCAGAGATGTTCGATCAGGTTCAAGTCCGGGCTCTGGCTGGGCCACTCAAGGACATTCAGAGACTTGTTCCGAAGCCACTCCTGCGTTGTCTTGGATGTGTGCTTAGGGTCGTTGTCCGGTTGGAAGGTGAACCTTCACCCCAGTCTGAGGTCCTGAGTGCTCTGGAGCAGGTTTTCATCAAGGATCTCTCTGTACTTTGCTACGTTCATCTTTCCCTCGATCCTGACTAGTCTCCCAGTCCCTGCCGCTGAAAAACATCCCCACAGCATGATGCTGCCACCACCGTGCTTCACCGTAGGGATGGTGCCAGGTTTCCCCCAGACGTGACACTTGGCATTTAGGCCAAAGAGTTCAATCTTGGTTTCATCAGACCAGAGAATCTTGTTTCTCATGTTCTGAGAGTCTTTAGGTGCCTTTTGGCAAACTCCAAGCGGGCTGTCATGTGCCTTTTACTGAGGAGTGGCTTCCGTCTGGCCACTCTACCATAAAGGCCTGATTGGTGGAGCGCTGCAGAGATGGTTGTCCTTCTGGATGGTCCCCCGTTCTCCACAGAGGAACTCTAGAGCTCGGTCAGAGTGACCATCGGGTTCTTGGTCACGGATTTCTCAGTTTGGCCAGGCGACCAGCTCTAGGAAGAGTCTTGGTGGTTCCAAACTTCTTCCATTTAAGAATGATGGCCACTGTGTTCTTGGGGACTTCAATGCTGCAGACATTTTGTGGTACCCTTCCCCAGATCTGTGCCTCGACACAATCCTGTCTCGGAGCTCTATGGACAATTCCTTCGACCTTGTGGCTTGGTTTTTGCTCTGACATGCACTGTCAACTGTGGGACCTTAAATAGACAGGTGTGTGCCTTTCCAAATCATGTCCAATCAATTGAATTTACCACAGGTGGACTCCAATCAAGTTGTAGAAACATCTCAAGGATGATCAATGGAAACAGGATGCACCTGAGCTCAATTTCAAGTCTCATAGCAAAGGGTCTGAATACTTATGAAAATAAAGTATTTATGTTTTTTATTTTTAATACATTTGCAAAAAATTCTAAAAACCTGTTTTCGCTTTTTCATTATGGGGTACTGTGTGTAGATTGATGAGGATTATTATTTTTTAAATCCATTTTAGAATAAGGTTGTAACGTAACAAAATGTGGAAAATTTCAAGGGGTCTGACTACTCTCTGAATGCACTGTATGTATTCAAGAAGAAGTGTGCCTATATGTTCACAAAGACCAACATTGTTGACACTTACACAGCCTTGTTTTAGAATCGACGTCAGCTCTTCAAAAATGTCCTCTTTGATACAAGCATTGCATTTCTGAGGTCCATCTCTGCAATGGGAATATGATGTCGACAAACATTACAAAATAACAGTACAGTGTGTCATATTGTCAAATGTTTCATATACACTGAGTGTACAAAACATTAACAACACCTTCCTAACATTGAGTTGCCCCCCTCCCCTCTTTTGCCCTCAGAACATCCTCAATTCGTCGGGGCATGGATTCTACAAGGTGTCGAAAGCGTTCCACAGGGATGCTGGCCCATGTTGACTCCATTGCTTCCCACAATTGTGTCAAGTTGGCTGGATGTCCTTCTGGTGGTGGACCATTCTTGATACACACGGGAAACTGTTGTGCGGGAAAATCCCAGTAGCATTGCAGTTCTTGACACAAACCGGTGCGCCTGGCACCTACTACCATACCCCGTTCAAAGGCACTTAAATATTTTGTCTTGCCCATTGACCCTCTGATGGCACACATACACAATCCATGTCTCAAGGCCTAAAAATCCTTATTTAACCCGTCTCCTCCGCTTCATCTACACTGATTAAAGTGGATTTAACAAGTGACATCAATAAGGGATCATAGCTTTTACCTGGATTCACCTGGTCAGTCTATGTCATGGAAAGAGCAGGTGTTAATGTTTTGTACACTCAGTGTATTCATCAAGCATCATATCTTGGGGGGCATTTCAATAGTCTAAAGTTGATTTCTTATGTTTTACCAGACCAGCACATACACAATACAGGGAAAGGAGACAATAAAGACAATTGTATACAATTGAGATACACTCTTCGAACTCCTACCTGACAGTCATATTGAAGCAGTAGGAACAGAAGCGGTGTCCACACTGGGCTTGGAAGGGCCTCCGCAGCAGGTTGTGACAGCAGTTACACAGGTGCTTATCCTCCAGCTTATTGGCCAGGATCTTCTTGGGGAAGCCGGGTTTGTTGCTCTCCATGGACGATGGAGGGGATGGTTCTTGCGTGGCCATGATTCACTCAGTACACCTCAGACCTGGCAACAACAACGTCACAGAGTCAAAATAAATGTGAAAAGACTACTATGAGGTATTGACATGACAAGGCAGGTTTTTCTATGTGTTGATGACATGATAAAGCTAGGATGATCAGTGTGCGCAGGTCTCCATTTGCCATCTTCTTCTGAGTCCGAGTATCTTTTTGAAATCAAACTATAATACTGGTTAATAAAGATAGAGGAATGTGCAGAAGGTAGGCTACATACTGACTTTTCTTGATATGACACTAGGGTTGTTCCACCAATTTGGTACCTTTTGAGAAGCGTAACTTGGTCAAATTTTTTTTTTATTTCACCTAATTGTAACATTCTGTGAAAGTGAACATGTTCAAATTCCATAAAAAACAAGTTTTCCCATCTCAAGAGGTTAAATAAAAAATTACTATAGTAAGTGCCTATTAAGTGCCAAATAAAATAACAGGGTTGACAAATTCATCTAAAATCTGCCATAAATCTCCTTGACACAGGGAAATGGAAGCGTGTTGTGTGCAACAGGGAGGGGCAATAGAATGCAAGCTTCACAAAAAATATTAAATTGTTTTTAAAAATCTAGCCTATCTATAAGTAACAGGGTGTTATGCTCGACCCGCTCTGCTTCCCACTACTACAGGCATTGGATTTTCCATGTATATTTTGAGGTTGGACGTTAGCACTTTAGCCACACCGATTGACATCACCTCGTTAGTCAGTGTGTTACACCTGTGCTGGCTTGTCATCTCGTTAGTCGGAAGGTGTTTCACCTGTGCTGGCCCAGGTGATATTTAAGAGTGGCTGGCTCAGTGCTCTTGAGAGATGTGGAGGGTTAACACCTTTAGTTGGTACGCCCTAGTTGAGTTCTTTAAAAATAATATTTTATCTGATCTTCCCTGTTGTCGTTTTGTGCCACTTTTTGGTTTGCTTCCTGTCTTTAAGTTTGGTGTGGGTTTTTATTTTGTTTGCCTCTTCTTGGGCAAATTCAGTGGGTGCTCATGGTGGGTGTCTTTTAGGTCCCAGTTGTTGTTGCTAGTTGCAAAACAAAGGAGATGATCGTGGACTTCAGGAAAAAGCAGAGGGTGCACCCCCCTATCCACATTGACGGGACCGACGTGGAGAAGGTGGAAAGCTTCAAGTTCCTTGGCGTACACATCACTGACAAACTGAAATGGTCCACCCATGCAGACAGAGTGGTGAAGAAGGCGCAACAGAGCCTCTTCAACCTCAGGAGGCAGAACAAATTTGGCTTGGCACCTAAAACCCTCACAAACTTTTACAGATGCACAATTGAGAGCATCCTGTCGGGCTGTATCACAACCTGGTACGGCAACTGCACCGCCCGCAACCGCAGGGCTCTCCAGAGGGTGGTGCGGTCTGCCCAACGCATTACCGGGGGCAAACTACCCACCCTCCAGGACACCTACAGCACCCAACGTCTCAGGAAGGCCAAAAAGATCAAGGCCATCAACCACCCGAGCCACTGCCTGTTCACCCCGCTATCTTCCAGAAGGCAAGGTCAGTACAGGTGCATCAAAGCTGGCACCGAGAGAATGAAAAACAGCTTCTATCTCAAGGCCATCAGACTGTTAAATAGCCATCACATTAGAGGCTGTTGCTGCCTATTGAAATCAATGGCCACTTTAAGAAATGGAACACTAGTCACTTTAATGTTTACATATCTTTCACTACTCATCTCATATGTATATACTGTATTCTATAATATTCTACTGTATCTTAGTCCATGCCGCTATGTCAATGCTTGTCCATATGTGTATATATTATTTACATTTTTTGTCATTAAGCAGATGCTCTTATCCAGAGCAACTTACAGTTAGTGATTCCATTCCTTACTTAGATTTGTGTGTATTGGGTATATGTTGTTAAATTGTTAGATATTACTGTACTGTCAGAGCTAGAAGCACAAGCAATTTGCTACACCCGCAATAACATCTGCTAAACACGTGTATGTGACAAATAAAATGTGATTTGATTTAGTCAACTTTCAGTGAACACCCACATGAGTGTCTTTCAGAACCCCTCCTAAAACCCCACCTTTTTTCGTTTTGGTTGTTGTCAGCGACTGTTAGTTCCCCCTTCTGTTTGAGTGACAATTTTTTCATTTTCTTGCTGGGGAACGTAACGCCACAAAACACCAGAAAATGGACAATGAGAGTAGAACCATCTCACCTGCTTTTACACTATGATTTGACTATTAGATGTTCAATGTTTTTAAAATATATATTTAAAAATGAATATTTCAACCATTTTATAACGAGCAGTTCACGTAACTGGGTTGACCTTTTAAAATGAGACCAGAGTAAATTAAAAACATTATATAAATAAGTCTTCAGAAATGACTGTCAAAGCAACTAAATAACTAGGGCTTTATGACAATGGTGAAAACTTATATGTCGGGGTTAAAATCTTCCTAGAAGGTACAGCGGGTGCATGGAGGGACATGTCAAAATGCTGAGAATGTATTGAATTCTCCATGTGGTCTATATTAAAAGGGCACTTCATTTAATATAACATGCTTTTAAAATTCAATAATTGTGCACAATTTCTACTTAAGATATCAAAGGGATGCAAAAGGCACTCTTTTCGTGGAACGACCCACTAATATAATACTACTTCGGTCAGAGAGAGCCACAATTTGGCAGATCTGATAGGCTATGAAAGCAAGCCAATGTTGCTTGTTTAGATGGTGGCATTATAGCTCAACCGCAATGTTCATATAAAATAAACAGGTGGCATCTAACCTAATCATTTGACATTCTAAAAAGCTTGTCATTGTAGTACTAGAAAATATAAAATATTTTTTTCTAACACCCATCATTTGAAACATTACGGTACAGAGGACACACGATCCACCACATGGTATCCTTGTACTAATACATGCACCGTGCATAAAGACAGTTGACACTATCAACGACAACTTCAATGCAGCTAGCCAGGCCTATTGAGAGAGCTAGCATAAGGGCCGTCTCCCTTTGTTTACATTTCGAGTCAGCAGTCGTAGCGCCTTGTCGCTTGAGCTACATTCATGTCAGAACAGTTGATGGTCATGTCACCACAAACGAAATGCGCGGCGCACAGTCAGACAATCCGAATGATGCTTACAAATCGTAAATCCATTGTTGTCGCCCTCCGCTTTCCCCAGTTGTCGTTGCTATAGCTATCAGCATCTTTAGCTGGAAGTGGTACCCTACACGTCAGCCGCCACGCCCCTTTAAAAAAGCAGGTGCACAAACCAGTTCGCTGTCGAAAAGGTTTCGTATTGAAAATGGACGATGGGCAATTACATGACATTTACCAGCGATTGAAACCCTCATCGCTTGCAGGGATAGTAGCTCCTTCTCGTCGTAGCCCCGCGGGCGTTAAATGTACAAATGTTGCATGCGACTCTACAGCAGAATGATTCAGTTTTAATGTTAACATAATAAATATGGTACCGAGAAGCTAGCTAGGGTTGTTATTGTTCAACTTCGCCATTGCACTATGCAGTGTGGGTGTTACGTAACGTGCAGCCTGAACATGGGTTGACCAATGATGTGTAGGATGATATATATAAAATTAGGATTGATTTGATAGCCAGGCCAAACGTAAGCCCGTAAAGGGAGGTGCATTCCTAACGGTATTCCTTTTCTAAAAGTTTCATATTAGACAAATTAAAATACATAAATACTCAAATATAATAGATATGGACACATTCTATAGGTTAGTTTTGCATAACTATATGTTTTAATTTATAACACTTGTGCTATTTATACAAAATCCCAGTAAAGTTACTATATAAGCATGAGATAGTTCAAGTCAGCATTTGAGGTAGCTATAATTGTAGGCCTAGCAACTGCCACCGCAACTGGTAAAATAAGAAAAACATTCAAGACAATAGATCAACAGGACTATCTTCAGAATTGAAACATATGACCTGTATCAAGGTTGTGTGAAGTGTTTCCCTGGTAAGTCAACAGTGCTCTGTGTATTCAGAGATGTGAACACTGAAAGAGGATGCAAATCTTTCATTCACTTGACGCTGTCAAAAAGTACTAAGTCAAGAGCAGTAAATATGAAGCAAGACTATAGTTTGCTCTGTGGGAAGGTTGAATTGTCGCACTTAAAGTTCATTCGCAGTTAACACACTGTTCCCCGGGCGCCGATGACGCGGATGTCGATTAAGGTAGCCCCCGCACCTCTCTGATTCAGAGGGGTTGGGTTAAATGCATTCAGTTGAACAAATGACTAGAGCGGTGTTCGAATACTCATACTAACCGCACTATTTGTGACGTAAATTGAGTATGTAGTATACAGTATGTTAGTATGGGTATTCGAACACAGCTTAGGTATCCCACTTTCCCTGCTTTGCCTGAATGCAAATCCTACTCAAAGTAGGGGACCATTGTTGGACATTGAGATGCACCCCATCTCCCTATGCATCTGTGGCACTCCAGTAGAAAGGGGAGTAGCAGGGTCACTGACAGGACAGAGGTCAGTATCTGGGCTTCCACTCTGTCAAAGATTTTTAAAGGAAATTAGGAAAGGATTAATGAGATAAACCACTAGAAAAAACACAAACATTGATAAATTAGAATGAGCAGCATCTGCTGGTTTAGAGGTGTTAGGACAGCCTCAACACACGGCATGGCATTATGTTAAATCATTAAGTGCTTATTGAAAATGCAAGCTATTCACAGAGTTATTAGCGGCATTTAGGCATGTTGAATGACAGTTTGAGACAAAAAAATGAAGCAAGAACTATAAATATTGTATTGGCAATTCATATCTGTATCAACAAAAGGAAACATGAACTGTAGGCATTACAAGCCTGACCTTTTTGTTATTTATTTAGAAAAACCTTGAAATTACTCAACCTGAAAAAATCCCATTAATATTGAAAACCTTCAGATACAGTACTACACATAGGCTAAAGCGTATGGCTTCTCTTCACTAAGGGTTGCGTCTTGCCTTCAAATCTGCACACCAAACTTCAATTTACATAAATCTCCCATTGACCTCAAGGCATGATTTAGAAGAAATTCTGAGTTATTAGCCACGAGTTTGAAGTTTACAGACCAAACTAGCTACAGTTGCTGAAATGTCTCGATTCCTCTGGTACGCTATCAGATACAAAATAATGGTGTTTGTCCTGAGTAGAGTGAGAAGGAAGATACTGCTATTGCACAATTAAGAAACGCTCTCTTTTCCGAAGTGGGCATCTGTTATTTGGCAACAGATTGCCGATCAAATCTGCAGTGTTTTGACCAGCGTTTTAAGAAGGCACTGCTTCAGTCCAGCGAGGCGCTGCTTCGGTCCAGCGAGGCGACCAACGGGTCCTTCAGTCAGGTCTCTTCAAGTAGCTTCCTGAGATGTCGCTGAATCTGGTTTGGTAGGATTATAGACAGGTTAAATGCATAGAATTTGTAAACAATATAATACATGAGGCTGATGAGTGAAGAACACTCCCACAATGGGCTCTTGACAATCCCCAACAAGATCATTATACTATTCACCCATTATGTAACCAAATGGAGAATGGTTACTAAAAAAATGTTATTGGGAAAGCAGAGCTATTGTCCCACTTAATTAAAATGTTAGCTCAGTGACAGAGCTGACTGCGTGGAATGTTTGAACAGTTTCATGGAGAGTGGCGAGGTGACAATGACAGAGTATTTACAGTTCCTTCAGAAAGTGTTCACACCCCTTGACTTTTTCCATATTTTGTTGTTACAGCCTGAATTTAAAATGGATTCAATTGAGATTGTGTCACTGACCTACACACAATACCTGTAAAAGTGGAATTGTTTACAAATGTTTACAAATTAGTTTAAAATGAAAAGCTGAAATGTCTTGAGTCAAGTATTCATCCCCTTTGTTATGGCAAGCCTTCAATTCAGGAGTAAAAATGTGCTTAACAAGTCATAAGTTGCATGGACTCACTATGTGCAATAAGTGTTTAACATTGTTTTTTTAATGACTACCTCATCTCTGTACCCCATACATACAATTACCTGTAAGGTCCCTAAGTCGAGCAATGAATTTCAAACAGATTCAACCACAGAGACCAGGGAGGTTTTCCAATGCCTTGCAAAGAAGGGCACCTATTGGTAGATGGGTAAATGGAGCATGGTGAAGTTATTAAGTACACTTTGGATGTTGTATCAATACACCCAGTCACTACAAAGATACAAGCATCCAACTCAGTTGCCAGAGAGGAAGGAAACCGCTCAGGGATTTCACCAATGGTGACTTTAAAAGAGTTAGCGTTTAATGGCTGTGATAGGAGAAAACTGAGGATGGATCAACATTGTAGTTACTCCACAATACTAATCTAAATAACAGAATACAAATATTTGTTTGTAATAAGGCACTAAAGTAAAACTGCAAAAAATGTGGCAAAGAAATTAACTTTATGTTCTGAATACAAAGTGTTATGTTTGGGGCAAATACAACAACACATCACTGAGTACCACTTCGTATTTTCAAGCATAGTGGTGGCTGCGTCATGTTATGGGTAAGCTTATCATTGGAAAGGACTAGGGAGTTTAAGGATATAAATAAATTGAATAGAGTTAAGCACAGGAAAAATCCTAGAGGAAAACCTGGATCAGTCTGCTTTCCAACAGACACTGGGAGACAAATTCACCTTTCAGCAAGACAATAACCTAAAACACAAGGCCAAAAATATAACACAAGGCCAAATTATTAAATATACACTGGAGTTGCTTACCAAGACAACATTGAATGTTCCTGAGTGGCCTAGTTACAGTTTTGACTTAAATTGTCTTAAATCTTTGGCAAGACTTGAATGGCTGTCTAGCAATGATCAAAGTGTTGTACAATCCAGGTGTGAAAAGCTCTTGCAGACTTACACAGAAACACTCACAGCTGTATTTGCTGCCAAAGATGATTCTAACATGTTTTGACTTGGGTGTGAATACATGTAAATAACACTATTGGTCAAAAGTTTTAGAACACCTACTCATTCAACGGTTATTCTTTATTTTTACTATTTTCTACATTGTAGAGTAATAGTGAAGATGTCAAAACTATGAAATAACGTATGGAATCATGTAGTAACCAAAAAAGTGTTAAATCAAAATATATTTTATATTTGAGATTATTCAAATAGCCACCATTTGCCTTGATGACAGCTTTGCACACTCTTGTCATTTTCTCAACCAGCTTCACCTGGAATGCTTTTCCAACAGTCTTGAAGGAGTTCCCACATATGATGAGCACTTGTTGGCTGCTTTTCCTTCCCTCTGCGGTCCGATTCATCCCAAACCATCTCAATTTGGTTGAGGTCGGGGGATTTTGGAGGCCAGGTCATCTGATGCAGCACTCCATCACTCTCTTTCTTGGTCAAATAGCCCTTACACAGCCTGGAGATGTGTTGGGTCATTGTCCTGTTGAAAAACAAATTATAGTCCCACTAAGCCCAAACTAGATGGGATGGCGTATCACTGCACAATGCTGTGGTAGCCATGCTCGTTAAGTGTGCCTTGAGTTCTAAATAAATCACAGACAGCGTCACCAGCAAAGCACCCCCACACCATAAGACCTCCTCCTCCATGCATTACGTCGGGAAATACACATGCGGAGATCATCCGTTCACCCACACCGCGTCTCACAAAGACACGGCGGTTGTAACCAAAAATCTCAAATTTGGACTCCAGACCAAAGGACAAATTTCTACCGGTCTGATGTCCATTGCTCGTGTTTCTTGGCCCAAGCAAGTCTCTTCTTCTTATTGGTGTCCTTTAGTAGTGGTTTCGTTGCAGCAATTCCACCATGAAGGCCTGATTCACACAGTCTCCTCTGAACAGTTGATGTTGAGATGTGTCTAACTCTGGGTCTTCCATTCCTGTGGCGGTCCTCATGAGAGCCTGTTTCATCATAGCGCTTGATGGTTTTTGCGACTGCACTTTAAGAATCTTAAAAAGTTGACATTTTCCATATTGACTGACCTTCATGTCTTAAAGTAATGATGGACTGACGTTTCTCTTTGCTTATTTGAGCTGCTCTTGCCATAATATGGACTTGGTCTTTTACCAAATAGGGCTATCTTCTGTATACCCCCCTTACCTTGTCACAACACAACTGATTGGCTCAAACCCATTTAAGAAGGAAAGAAATTACACAAATTAACTTTTACGAAGGCACACCTGTTAATTGAAATGCATTCCAGGTGACTACCTCATGAAGCTGGTTGAGATAATGCCAAGAGTGTGCAAAGCTGTCATCAAAGCAAAGGGTGGCTATTTGAAGAATCTCAAATATAAAATTGATTTTGATTTGTTTAACACTGTTTTGGTTACTACATGATTCCATATGTGTTATTTCATAGTTTTGATGTCTTCACTATTATTCTACAATGTAGAAAATAGTAAAAATAAAGAAAAACCCTTGAATGAGTAGGTGTTCTAAAACTTTTGACTGGTAGTGTAGATTTCTGTATTTCATTTTCAATCAAATAGAAAAAATGTCTAAAAACATGTTTTCACTTTGTCATTATGTGTAGATGGGTGAGATTTTTTAAAGATATTTAACCATTTTGAATTTAGGCTGTAACACAACAAAATGTGGAATAAGGCAAGGGGTATGAATCATTTCTGAAGGCACTGTACACACACACCCAAACATGACACAGGAGCTGGGCAAACTAGGACAAGCTAGACTAGTATCTATTAGCTACTCCCAAAGAGTAAACTTTAACGAAGCTTATGAAATAACTTTTAGGAGTAGAAAACAGTGAGCCGATGTTGACAGTCTTTTGTTGGCAAGGCGACAAACCTTTTCTAGCTTAAAGGTTTGAAGACAACTCCCCACATATTTCTGCATTGAAGTCACCCTGCGATCTGTGATGCACAACGTTTCTGAAACAAAATATGCTCAGAATTAGCCGTCATGTCTGAATCCAGGTGAATTCAGTTTCAGCTCATTCCCATGGCAAGATGCAAATGAATCCCGACAAATGTAAAGGTCAATTTTACTCTATCCTGTCATTAGGATACATTTAGGTATTAAGTATTGTAAAATACTGGATTTTTACAATTTTCTATGGGAACTGTTTGGAAAAATGACATCAAAACATACGTATTACACATATTCATAACATGATAAAGAATGACAGATTCTTGTCTGACCAAGTCATTCTTTGGGTTTTCCAACAGTTTGTGATGACAAATTCCACATTTATCATGCATTATAACGCCACCTATATACCAGGGCTAATATGACTGGATTCTTATTGCATCACAATTGTTAATATGTTAACTAATTCCCATTGCTGCTCTGTTATCTCAGACAAAGCTGTAGTGGCAGCTCTTACTTGGTGCGGAACCCAATGAGTTCAACCGCTTCTCAAGAGCCACAATCTTGAAGGCCATGTAACACGAGGACAAGACAAGGACACTTACTCTGCAAAGACAACACAAACACGTCACACACCCATATGAGGGCTGGAATCCCCAGGAACCCTTTGGCTTTTACTAAGTAACAAGTATTTCCAATTCAACTCCCATTGTTGAATCATCTCCCACACGACACAAACACACAATCCCACAACCAAGTTAACACCCAGGCCAGGACAAAACAGCCAGTTCACTTGGCTTGTGTCGACATGCTCAGCGACAAGTGAAATGATTAGCTAAATGACTTGTCAGATGACTTCGACACCACCTTATCACCCATAATGAGAGGTTACTCACAGGAACAAAAATAAGATGTTCAATGATGCCGGCTGTAGCAATTTCACTTTGAATTCAACCCCCTGGGCAGGCTTGGACGGCTCTACAGATGAGACAGGATTAGTGCACAGGTCAGCGATACAGATGGACGGACTTACTAAGAGTTTGCATCTGTAAAATGTTTTTTTTCCTCCAGAATGGACTAACATCCAAAAAGACAAAGCTAAACACATTTTTATCAACACTTGCAGAACTGCATCTTTAAGATCTTATCCTTCAATTAATGTTCTATTAATGTTTATTTACATTCTGTTCCACTCTTCAGATTCCATGTCCTCTTGAAAATGATAGATGCCAATTAGAGTATATCTGTTTCCACTGCGCCACGCTCATGCGTAAGGGCCTCATACCATTCTGGTGAGCGGCTCCGTGCTTTTGGTTGGGGGTCTGGAGGTGGACGTCTGCATGCACCACCATCTCTCCTTCTTCATCCAACTCAGGAATGTGCCTGGGATGCTGGAAAACTCTGCACAAACAAACACAGAATGTTCTCTGTAAACACGACGGGCCGCCAACCATGTAAACATTTATAACCTCGCTTCTCATCTCCTTTCAATTCAATATGCCTAACTACTAACATTATCAGATGTGGTCCTGTTAATGGGTATCTAATCCGGGTCGCCTGTGCGCACTGAGACCATGTTAGCCCACTGAGCTAAAGCCTAGGCATTCTCTTGGGAGGGCGAACAGGAGTCTTTAGGTCTCAGGCAAGATTACGCTTCACGTGCACTTAGCTCACTTAACCACCTCTGTGTTATTCTCAGCCCTCCAATAAACATATGCAGTGAACAGGTGAAATTACGTACAGGTCTCTCATTGATGGTTGTACGATGACAATCCGCCTACAGCCAATCAATCCTTTATCTTTTTAAATATTGACTTGTTTAAACCAACCATAGTCACTACTGTATCCACATGTAAAAAGTAAATAGTGTCTGTTTAAATACAGTTGAACTCTTACGTCTACAGGCTACAAGAAAAAGTGAGCCTGTACAGTAAAATTTGGCTACAGCTGTGTTCGGGCAGAGAAGCTTAAGTAACTGAAAGCATCTGACTGCACCTGGCAGTCCAACTCAACTTATCTATTATAATATAATAATAATATGCCATTTAGCAGACGCTTTTATCCAAAGCGACTTACAGTCATAGGCTATTGGAAGCTGTTAGTACTGCTCTTCGTTAATCTGTATAGATAAAACTCCTTACTCAGGGTCAATTTCTTTCCCTCCTTTATTCTTTCTCTCCACTCATGTAAGGGTATAGTGATAGTTTATTTCTGTCTCTATGATGTTGCATAGATTATGTATGATGATTGTATTGTCTTTCACCAGGAGGATGGTTGGACACCCCTGCCATCATAAAGGGAGAACCCACCCACCCTTTTCTCATAGTCAGGAGTCTGGGAGCCCAAGCTGCTGCTCTCCAGCATGTCCTGCCTCCTCTGGCGCACCACCCCATCTAGGTCTGAGAAGTCTCCAGATAAATCCTACACACACAATATTTACGTTAATTTGAACCCATTTAAATAAAACTAATCTTAAATAGAATTTAAACTGTCCAGACACAGATGGTACAGTAGAACAATTACAACACACACACATACACTTTGGTCATATAAGAAGAGTTGGGAGAAAGGCAACAGTCTCAGTACTGACCAGAGGAAGTGATGAAGGACAATCGGCTCTGAAGCTGTTCTCAGCAGAGGAAGTAAATGGGGCTGCTCCCTGTATTGTCCCTCTACAATGGTGTCCAATGAGTTAGACTTGAAAAGGCCAACTGCACAATGCTAATGCTATAGTTTAACAATATGTTAAGCCTCACAATGCTGTTGTCTGCAGGTAGTTGTAGTATAAAAAAACAAAAAAAACATAAATTGACAAAAAGATTGTGAAATAATTGAAGACAAGGAGGAAGAACTTACATCCAGATGAACACATGGATTTCAGGAGTTTATATGTTGTATCTCGGATAGGAATTATGCAAATACGTGCTGTAAAAAAAACAGATTTAACATGACAAATTACAATGAAAGAATAATAAGTGTTACTAATTAACAACAAACTTGACGATTGAATATCTACAAATAAAACTGGTCTTAACCACTCGTTTGTGGTTGTGATAACGAGTGCATTTGGCACCAAAATTGCAGTTTTTGTCTTTTTGATAAGAGTAACAGAGAGTACGGGAATAGCAATCTGGAAAGTGAAAGTTAACATTATTTCACTTCAACTACATTTCAGGGAGTGTCTTGTTTGAACCTATTTTCCTAGAGAGACCAGGCCAAACACTAGCAAGGAGAAAAAGTCAATACATTTTTTGTATTAAAAACATCTTCTAGCAAATCTGTTGACATTGACAAATCTGAGTCCGAGGAACAACTCTTGATAAATGCAATGGCTCAGGATAGTAATGATAGTGTGTGCACTAAACCAGGGCTTGAAGTTATCAGGAGCAATAGTGCAATTCAATTGAGACTGGAAAGCTGTATTGCACTTATCTGAAGGAGTATTGACTGACTGTAGGGATGCACATTTCAGTCAATTTTGATGCCAACCAAGAGACTAAACAACCCTCATTAACCAGTTAACAAATGGTTCAATTTGTTCCAAATAGTTTAATGATGTGACCAACACAAAATACTATACGTGCATACAAGGAACTGACATTTTTTATTAAGAGCTTAATTGAAACATACAACAGTAGCAGCAAGCCAGACGGCTAAGGCTATATTATTGAACATACAACTACTGTAATGAAGCACCCAATGTAAAACATCACTTCAAACATTTGCCAAAATGCAATTTGAGGGAAAACACTGTTCTAAATAGCGCACCTGATGTGAGCAGTTCCATATTTGACAGCGATAAAAATCTCTGTTAGAAACGTAGAGTAGGAATCTAAGATGCAACAATTGGATGGGTTGCTAATGTGACTAGGATTGTGTCTTTGGCATCTGGACAATGAAAGAAAGTTGCCCACGGCATAATGTCTTGTTCTAGTTGTTAGTAAAGTCTAATTAAAATGAAGACTGTCCATTTCCGATTGATGCCTCATTTCCGATTGATGGCTGTGGTGCTTCAAGTTTCAGCACCACAATGTAAGTTACTCAAATCTGGTTTATTGTGAGGTCAATAACTCTGATAAATACATCATGGGCAAGTTTTTAATAAAATACATTATAGTAATAGCAAGCTATCAACATTAGCCTCCGGTCATCCTCATTTTAGCGCTCTCTCCTTCTCAAACTGAACAGAACATAGGCTAGTCCGCGCGCAAGTTTTTTTGGACTAGGCGTAATAAATAAAACAATTCGGAAGAACCCTTTGACTCTCCTCCTGAACTGCCACCGTAGGCCTACACGGCACAGCTATTGGTTAGGCAGCACACAAAAAACTATTTGATCAGCAAGAGCAGAGCAGACCAGCACTCAGGGTTAGAATATCCATTGCAGTGTGTAATGCAGCCTAGTTTTATTTACACCACCCCAGCCTCTCTCTTAGAAATATAACTTTGCTCTGTGCTTCTCTGAGCATGCACTTCGTGGATCATTATATTGACAACTAACTAAATAGCCTATAAGCACACTTGATATTGCGCACCCAGTGCCCTCGCCCTAACAAAAATACCATTCTATGCTAGCTCCACATGTTACTGCTCGCATGTTGTCAGGATGATCCACACCCTGGACCTCTGGAGAGCCCAAGATGAAATGTCCAATACAAGCTTGCCACAACTGTGGCATAAGCAAATAGGCAAGAACATTAATGCCAAGCCTATTACAGCTGTCATCAAATCAAATCAAATTTTATTGGTCACATGCGCCGAATACAACAGGTGCAGACATTACAGTGAAATGCTTACTTACAGCCCTTAACCAACAGTGCATTTATTTTAAACAAAAAAAGTAAGAATAAAACAACAACAAAAAAAGTGTTGAGAAAAAAAAGAGCAGAAGTAAAATAAAGTGACAGTAGGGAGGCTATATATACAGGGGGGTACCGGTGCAGAGTCAATGTGCGGGGGCACCGGCTAGTTGAGGTAATATGTACATGTGGGTAGAGTTAAAGTGACTATGCATAAATACTTAACAGAGTAGCAGCAGCGTAAAACGGATGGGGTGGGGGGGCAGTGCAAATAGTCCGGGTAGCCATGATTAGCTGTTCAGGAGTCTTATGGCTTGGGGGTAGAACTTGGTGGCAAAAGTCATGGTGGCAAAAGTCATGGTGATGGTGGCAAAAGTCATGGTGGCAAAAGTGAGTTGGAAAAGATTGCCAGTCTTCTGCAGTTACAACTTTGACAGGTAAACTACATGTGAATGCCATGTTTACATCTAATGCATGTAATAACCAATCCAACCACAAGAGGGTAGTATAACAGAGGCAGGTCCATTATATCTTCCACTGTTACATATCAAAGAAACAGATGTTTTAGACGCTGGCAGGTACTTACTGTATAGGCACACATCTATGGTTAGCAGCAGAAACAGTAGGGTATGCATAAACAGAGTCATCAATTGTTTTTCACCTCCATGTTTGTATATTTATGTTCTCAGGACAGTGTCAGAAGTAACAGAAGAATGAAATAAATGTCAGGCACACCTATGAGCTACGTACATTGTTAACTGGCCCCCATTAGAAGTACTGTAGCAGTAGGTGAGGACCCAATAGCCAGTGGCTTGAGCTACCAGGTAAAGCAATTCAGGATTATTATTTTTTAAATAATCACTATCACTATATTGTTTATTAATAAATACAATTTATAGAAAAGAAGCATACTCACCGATAACAATACTAATGCATAAGATTACAAATGAGTAACAGCAGGATGTTACAGTACATTTACAGCAGGGTTACAAATGCCAGTTAGTAATAAAAGGAATGCGTGTGTGTATTAATGCATCACTACAGCCTTCCAGATACAATTTTAAAACGTCTTAATTTTGGCTAATGCCCTTTCCACGTGCACCCTATCCTTCGCCATTTTCTTTGTCATCTTGACATCTGGTTCTGGCATTTGTAGGTTGGACTTTGCAAAGGGAGGAATGTTCAATCTAAGGCCAATTTCTTCCACATCTTTCTCAATGAGAAATACCTCATCTGCCATGAGCCCATCACCTCTTTTAAGGTAGCCACATTGAAGCAGACATTGCAGTAAGTCTGATGTTAAACTGTTTAAATATTTATCTCCAAAAATGGATCCTGTGTAGAGGGTGGATGCAAATAACTGAGCCACGTGGATCATATATGATCAGATTTCAGTGTGTTGGTAGACTTGTAGTTGAAATAAGTTTGGCTTTGAAGTAGCAGTGAGCTTGGTTTCTCCATATTTAACTCTGTGCAATCTAGTTTTGCAAAGGTCGTTGGAAAATCTCTCCTGTTATCTAACATGTTTTCTGTGATGACCTAGCCTGTCATACATAAAGTCCACGTAGGAACTGAATAAAGTGCTAACACTTTGTAAGTCCATATGAAATCTGAAAGCCAGATCTTTCAGGTCTATTTTGGACAAGCAGAAACTACTGACACCGAAGTCACTGGGCACAAAGTGTTCTCATGTGGCTTTGTTGTCAACACCCACGCCCCTTATTTAGGCAAATCTTCTGACAGAGCAAGGAGAACCCAAGCTCATGGAATTAAAGTGCCCAGACCAAGACAGCTTTACGGGATATAAATACCTCCAAAGACCTGATGGTACCTACGCTCTCAAACCTAATCATGAGTACCACTACCAAATTATGGGACAAATGGGAATCATGGGGATGCCGTGGTGTGATTTACTTGTTGTGTGTAAAATGAATCACCTAGAGCGCGTCCACTTTAATGCAGAAAAGTGGGAGAGCATGAAAAGCCAGCTGGACTGCTTATTTTTTGTGCATTTCCTGCCAACCCTGTGCATATAATTAAAATAGTACCTATTTCAATGACCCCGGTGGCCTCCTTTGTTGAGGTATCATCTCCGATATCCTCTGGTGATTTGGTTGCCGTCTCTCCTGTGGTGTTCGTGGAAGCCGCATTTTACACATCAGATCTTAATCTGTAGATGCATGTGATGATGTAGTGTGTTATTCATTCGTGTATTCAGTCAGTGCTAAGGTTATATTATTTCAGAGGTCTCCTGAATCAAATGATATGTAAATCAGACATCTGTTGCCTACGTTGTACTTGTGATTGCACCTAGTTGTGTGGTTATGTATGAGTTATGTAAATTGTGTATAATTTATTTACATAAAGGATAAACTTCCATATAAAGGATAAATGTATGAAATGTGCCCCCTGAGTGTCTGTCAACATTTGGTAATGTAGGCTAGGTTTAGTTAAACATATTACAGTACCTTTTTTTTGGAGGTGGCCTGCATCCTATGACTGCATCTCATCCAGCAGTACTAGCAGCAGCTTGATTTGGGTACTGAAGACTTGGCTTCCCATCAACGAAGTACTGAAAGAATTACGTCTTTTAGCAAATAGTCAGCTAAAGATTTGTGATATATATATATATATATATAGCCTAACAATGCTACAGTAGCTAGCTAACGTTGATAATCAGGTAGCTAGCTAACAAAGTTTAGCTTCGTTGTATAAATAATAACTTTTATCTAGCCAGTTTCTTTCTTCTCTTAGTAATGTATTGCGATATCACACATTATGCAAAAGGTGAACTTAACTGAGTTACTTACCTTGGAGCAAACATGTGTCCTTCATAGTTACTTACCTTGGAGCAAACATGTGTCCTTCATTATCTTGCATGTGTTCAACTATGAATGAAGTCGTCCACAAAGCTTTATCCACAAACTACACTTCTCTCTCCGTCAGATTTTGGTTTTGGAAAGGGTATATATAAAAAAAGACACACCACCCTCTAACCTCTCCAGGTATCGACTGTCAGTATTACATGTGCCCCAGGCACACCGATTTAACATTTTCGGTTCACTTGTAACAGAGAAAGGAAAAGCATCTCTTCCTGTAGCCCATATACGCCATCATGATGTTTTGTGAAAAGTCTCCGAGGTCTGAGCGGTTGGTTACGGTTGCTAAGCTCTGATTGCTAAACTCCTGCCCCAACAACCTTCTTCTTTGATGAGGTTTAACGGCGGTTGGCATCCAATAAATGTTGCATTACCGCCACCAACTAGACTGGAGTACAACTACCTTATACTTTGCTTGAAAAAATAAACAAAATAAACAAAATACCGTACCATCTAACACTACACTCACAAAAAATATTTTAAAATAATAATAATAAAAAATAACACCACCCTACTCCACTATTTAAATATATTTAGTCCTACCTCAGGCAAACTACCTGAAAGGATAGGAAACCACCACTTAACACCCTGTAACTCTAATATATAACTTATATATCCTAACATCACTTTGTCGGGCGAAGACTCAACATCAAAACTCAAAAGAAAAGACAATGACTCTTCTGTTTCACCACTCATGCCACCCTGTATGTGTCGCACAAAACAACGAGCATCACAAACACCGGGAATCTTCCCCTTCAGTTGGTCAACTTTTATATTTACTGCTACCCCAGTAATCACTCCTTTCAATGGCGCCCTTTTCTAGAGCGTGAAACAATTCACATCTCTCACAAACAATTATCACAAGACCACTTCTGGTTGCCCTCACCGATTCCACAGCACCCAACTCTGTTTTCACCCACCATGAAACCACAAATGGATCAGCCAAAAGACAGGTTCCACTTTTTCCAAAATCTTCACTCCTACTGTCACAGACTCATTTTTTGTAAAACATTTTTTAACCTTTATTTAACTAGGCAAGTCAGTTAAGAACAAATTATTATTTACGATGACGGCCTACACCGGCCAAACCCGGACGATGCTCGGCCAATTGTGCGCCACCCTATGGGACTCCCAATCACCGCCGGTTGTGATACAGCCTCGAATCGAACCAAGGGGTCTGTAGTGACGCCTCAAGCACTGAGATGCAGTGCCTTAGACCATCTTTATCATCCTGACCCTCGGTGCAATCCTCGGCCTCCAAGAAGGAGGCTCTCCGCACTGCTAAAGCTAACTCTCTCTCCTCTGCTCTTGTCCTTCTAGACCTGTCTGCTGCCTTTGATACTGTGAACCATCAGATCCTCCTCTCCACCCTCTCCGAGCTGGGCATCTCCGGCGCGGCTCACTCTTGGATTGCGTCCTACCTGACCGGTCGCTCCTACCAAGTGGCGTGGCGAGAAGCTGTCTCCGCACCATGTGCTCTCACCACTGGTGTCCCCCAGGGCTCAGTTCTAGGCCCTCTCCTATTCTCGCTATACACCAAGTCACTTGGCTCTGTCATATCCTCACATGGCCTCTCCTAACATTGCTACGCTGACGACACACAACTGTCATGATTAAACTGGATTTGAACCCAAATGCAGACAACTACACCGAGCCAGAGAAGGTTTAACAGGTTTATTTACAATGTTCAATTTGTCCAGGTTTCCAATAATAGGGGAAGAGCAAGTCCAGGTTACAGGGAGGGTAACAGATCCAGGTTCAGAGCAGGTGTGGTACCGTAATGTCCTAGTGTCCGTGGTGAGTCCAAAAGGGAGGTCCGGTAGTGGAAAGCAGGATGGTGGTGGCAGGAGTGAAGCGGAGGCAGGAGTCAGGTTCCAATAATCTGTGGCACAGGAGAAAAGTAAATAGAACAGGCCAAAAACACAAAGAGCGAAAACAAGCAGGTTGAGTCGGCAGCGAGACTAACATGGTCGTCTTGACTATGATCTGACGATGAGTGGCAGGTTTGACCGGGTCTTAAAGGCTGAGGTGATTATGGTGAATGAGCTGCAGCTGGAACCCTGACTCCCGCACACCAGACTTCACTGCTGCAATCAAGGACAGACAGAGGGGAGGGGGAGAGCAGAGAGAGAGCTACCTAGCAGCAGTAGGCCTAACAACAACTAATCTTCTCCTTTCCCCCTTCTGATAACCAGGTGGCGAATCGCATCTCTGCATATCTGGCAGACATATCAGTATGGATGACGGATCACCACCTCAAGCTGAACCTTGGCAAGACGGAGCTGCTCTTCCTCCCGGGGAAGGACTGCCTGTTCCATGATCTCGCCATCACGGTTGACAACTCCGTTGTGTCCTCCTCACAGAGTGCGAAGAGCCTTGGCGTGACCCTGGACAACACCCTGTCGTTCTCCGCTAACATCAAGGCGGTGACCCGATCCTGTAGGTTCATGCTCTACAACATTCGGAGAGTACGACCCTGCCTTACACAGGAAGCGGCACAGGTCCTAATCCAGGCACTTGTCATCTCCCGTCTGGATTACTGCAACTCGCTGTTGGCTGGGCTCCCTGCCTGTGCCATTAAACCCCTACAACTCATCCAGAATGCCGCAGCCCGTCTGGTGTTCAACCTTCCCAAGTTCTCTCACGTCACCCCGCTCCTCCCCACACTCCACTGGCTTCCAGTTGAAGCTCGCATCTGCTACAAGACCATGGTGCTTGCCTACGGAGCTGTGAGGGGAACGGCACCTCCATACCTTCAGGCTCTGATCAGTCCCTACACCCAAACGAG